GAGTCCCACTTTGTGAAATCAGGTACTTTGTCAAAAGACATTTTATGCTTTATATTCAAACTAAAGAGAAGTTAAACACTCAAAAACTTAAAGGAACAATACTGAGGTATGTTGATTGCAGAGATATTCGGAACTATAATGCCTGTATTTTATTGAAGTTCTTCTAGGCATCAGTTACAGCTGGAAATCTTTTGAGTAAACCCCTTTGCACTGATGCTGTATTTCCACATTCTTTACCACAGATTTGTTCAAGCTCTTTATACTTTTAAGGATTTTTGATGCATAGTCAAGACTGAGCCACCCCCGTGTACTGTTGAGTGTGTGATGCAGATCATGCTGAAAGATTATTTATTTTCAATGCATTTATCAGTCGCTGTTTTTGTGACACTTCTGAGGAAAATCTTTGCAAATAGCATATTGGTGGTGGTGTCTGGAGTATATGTTTTGGGGCCTACATTTAGTTTAACTCTTGGCAGAATGTATGAGTTTGATGTCTTCTGACTAATGCATTTTTATACGTTGAATTCAGGTGTTTCATTCAATCCCATTGCCACAGGGATATAAAATTAAGCAACTTGCCATGCAATCAGGTTTATAAACATTTGTGAAAGAATGAATCAGCTTGTGAAATTTCTTCCCTACTAGATATTCCATGGTCAACTGCAAGTGGTGTAATTGCAAAGTGGAAGTGTTTTGGAGCAACAGAAACTCAACCACAAAGTGACTGACCACGTAAAGTAACAGGGCAAGGTCTGAGGCGCATAGTGTGTAAAAGTCTCCAATGCTCTGTTGACTCAGTAACTACAGAGATCCAAACATATTCTGGCATTAACAGCGCAAAAGCTGTGCACCGGGAGCTTCATAGAATGGGATTCCATGGCCGAACAGCTGCCTGCAAGCCTCACATCACCAATTGCAATGCCATGCGTTGGATAGAGTGGTGTACAGCACACCACCACTGGACTCTGGAACAGCGGAAACATGTTCTGTTGAGTTACAAATCATGTTTTTCCTTCTAGCAGTCTGATGGACAAGTCTGGGTTTGGTGGATGCCAGGAGAACGTTACCGGCCTGACTGCATTGTGCTAGCTAGTTGTCCCCTAGTCCCTACTTTTCATTCAAACACAAGCTACCAGGGACGAACTTGCAGCAATAACTTGCTTATTGCTGATAACTTGCTAATCAATATACTGTAGTGCCGGTGGGATATGAAGAAGCCAATTAGCATGTCCCAGCATGCCTTGAGAGTAGCTGTAAACAGCCCTCGTTTGTGTAATTGTTAGTACTTGCTGTGTTCCCGATTCTTGTGTGTGCCCGTGCCTGTGTCTTGCATGAACCCTGTCCGATCCTCATGTGGCTCTAGTTATTGTATAAATTACCCACCATGTGTGTGTGTCACTGACCTGTGTCTGACCTGCATTTTTCCTAGATATGTGTGCTTCTGTGGTTGTTTGGTGCCTGCGTTAGTCCTATTAAGGACTTAGTATAAGGGCATTCTTTCCTCTTTAAAAAGAACCTTCTAATCTCTTGCCAGTCCCGCAATGCCTTGGTCTGCCAGATGTTACACTGGTGTCAGAAGTGGAATGCCAGGGTGCTGCACTACTGGGGTAGGATCTTCACAACATCACTCGGCAAGCCCACTCCAGCCTGGCGGACCTGAAGGCAGCTTTGAAGCAGCAGAATGGGAGAAGCAGTTGTGATTCTCTGGCGGGCAGGGCTTGGGACTGGGGTCGGTGAGATCTGAGGCTCATCTGCTGGTGCTGCGAGAAGAAAAGGCACCGGGCAGTGCCCAGAAGCCCATCCCAGAGCCGCCAGCAGACAAGCACAATAGAGAGAGTGAAGTGCTCCGGATGTCCTGCCCCGGACCCGTGCAGCATGCCCTGAGGCCGCTCCTGCCATCCCGCCGGCTCCCTGTCCGAGGCGGTGTCAGCAACTCGGGAAGGCGGGACCTCCAGGAGGATCTGCCTGCTCACTGGCTAGTGACATCTCACAACTCACCAGCTGTGAGGAGGCGTGTCACATGGTTGAGGCTCAGCTGGCACGAGATCGAGGACGAAGAAGCAGCAGGAGGGTCAGCAGGACTGGGAGCAGCTGTGCAAGGAACGGGTCAGCTGGGAGTGTGAGCGCGACCACAAGAAGCCTCTGGCTGAGGTAGTGGAGGCAACATTACTCAGCCACGAGACAGCTTTGCTTGGCCGAGACCCCCAGCAGAGACTGCACCAATCTCTGGAGCAGGCAGAGCGCAACTTGGAGTGGCTGTTGGAATGGAAGCGGAGTTGGAACAGCTGGGCAAGGCCACTCGAGACATGGAGCCAGAGGACCTGCAAGAGAATCAGCCTGGCAGACAGCAACAGGTCCCCACAAGGCCACGGGGGAAGAAGGGCCGGGGTCCAGGGGGACTCGTATTGCCAGAGCCTGTCTAATCCTCACATGTCTGTAACCATTGTATAAAATACCCACCGTGTGCCGTACAGTCCAGCATCAGGCCTCCTTCTGTTTTGCTAATATGTGTGATTCCGGTGCTTGGTTGGGGCTTAGGTTAGTCCTTTAAAGAGCTGAATAAAAGGGAATTGTTTCCCTTTTAAAAAGAGCCTCCCTGTCTCTTGTTGCCACCACGATGCCTCAGTCTGCCAAATGCTTCACTGGTGTCAGAAGTAGGATACCAGAAGGAGCCCTACTAGCGGCATGCTGGAGGGCTGGCTATCTCAGGAGCAGCAGCTTGAAGAGCCAGCAGGACTGAGAGCAGCTGCATGAGGACCAGACCAGGTGGGAACATGAGTGTGACCCCCAGTGTTACTCGGCTGTGAGGTGGCATTTTGCACATTGGAGGACCAGCTGGCCAGGAGCGCAGCAGTGGCTGCAGGAGGATGAGGGCCAACTTCAGGAAGGTCTGGAGTAGGAACAATGCAGCCTACAGAAGCTGCATGAGCAGCTGGTTGCCTGCCAGCACAACATCCTGGAGCAGGAGGCCAAGGCCATGGAAGCTGCACTGCTCCGCTACGAGGGGGCGTGCCTTGCTCTGGAGGCTGAGCTGGCCAGGGAGCATCGTGAACTAGACGAGGAGTGCGAGTAGTACTGGTAGGACCTGCAGCGGCTCTGCAATGCCAAGTGACTTGCAGAGCAGGTAGGACAGCAAAGGAAGCAGCCCGTTGGACAGCAGCAGGTCCCAACCAAGGCGCGCAAGATGAAGGGCCAGAACCCCAGGGGACCTGCAGTGCAAGTGCCCACCAGTAGCCCAGCTCCCGTCAGTCATTTAGCCTCTTCAGCCTTGCCAGTGCTTGCTAGCGGGTGGCTTCCACCCTCCCCAGGGAGGAAACACCGGTGGCTGCCACCAGACCCTTGGGACTTGTTCCAAAGCTGAGATGAGAACTGGGAGTGGCCAGAAAGGTCAGCATTTGAGGGGGGGAGCAGAATAGCACCAGCAGGATATGCAGAAACCAATTAGCATGTCCCAGCATGCCTTGCGAGTAACTGTAAAATTCTTTCCCCTTTAAAAAGAGCCTTGTGGTCTCCTGCTGCCACCGCGATGCCTTGGTCTGCCAGACATCACAATACTTTTGTCTAATATTGCTGGTACCAGCTGTGAAACTTGCCAATGCTTATTAGCAGGATAACATTACGTAGTTTTTTATTCTGTGGCAAGCAAAAGATTGATATGCTGGCGAGATTTCATAAGAATCGAGAACATGTCACGGATCGTATAAGTAAAATATAGTTTCCCAATTTGATCATGATCGATCCCCCCAATTACTATCAAAACAACTTATTTATCCTTCATTTTTCCGTTGTGGCAGTGTAGTTTCATATAAAATTACAAGTGAAATATAACCTACAAACATTTTGTGTCTCCCATGCTTATTTAGCATAAAGTTCCCAGTTCTAGTTGTGCAGTGTGAAAGCGACACACGAAAATCCTGGTCGCAGAAGCTCAGTTCATTTATACAGTGGAGGCTTTTAATTCTACATAAACACAAAATATACTTTACAAAGGAAAGCCATCCATAATTACACTGTCAGAAAAAAAAGGTACAGTTCTGGTATAGGTTTTCTTCCCCAAGGCACAAACAGCACTAATGTGTCCCCCAATGGTACAAAAATTTGCTCCTCAGAGTCCATTTCTGTACCTTAAAAGGTTTGTTTACTTACAGCTAGGGTACATTTTGCAAACTTTACCCTGACAGTGCGGCAGTGCAAAGTTGCAGTTCCTAGCAAATCCTAGGCAGCACAGGAGACAAACACATATAATGTGAGCCAAGTATTCACATCTGAAGAAACTGAAGTACTGGCAGAAACCTACACAAAAAGCTGCACAAAAAGTTTCACACAAAAGAACGTGCATTAAATCTCCAACCTATGATGTGCAAAACCAAAGGATTAAATCCATAATTCAGTCTCACATGCAGACTTGCGGCATTGTACACCATCAGATCATAACAATAAAGATTATACTTCCTGATCAGACTGGCAAAATCAAAAATGGCATCAAATTCTGGAAGGTACATTCACTCTTTTAATTGTACGTATAAAAATAGTACATATAGTACATACGAGCAATATATGCGTGTGTTGATTCTATCAATATAGTTTTTTGTACTATTTCTTATAAAAATAGGAACGATTCTGTTTTATTATTTTTTATCATGCCGTTCTATGAAACTTGTATGTGAATCAATAATCTGATCTCTTTATTTACAATGATCAATCGTACTATTCCTGATTTGACTTTATATGAACAACTTTACAAGCCTTATACTGTTCGTCGTCTGGTTTTGCAGACCGCTAACTATAATGCCCTTGTTTAAAATGCAACTTCGACTTTTGGTATTTTTATTGTGCAAATCATTTTAATTAATATTATTAATTAATCCATTTTCTACACTACATATACAAGAAAGCGGTGTATTAATTAATGTATTTGTTTATTTATTTACAATTTCTTTCCAAGTTGTAGTTCCTGTGACGACGTCCATGAATCGTAAAGCCTGATTGGATATTTGTGAGAACTATTTAATGTAAGGAGAGATTCAATAGGCAATAGCGTCCAGCATGAGTGTCCATTGCGGGTCGTTCTATTTACACATCAGAGTAACAATGGATCAAAATAACTTCAAATTTTCTTAGTGAACATATATACATTTAGTTACAGGAACTTGAATACGTGCACTTAAGTGTTCAAAGTATACGGGTAAGTTTTCATGACTTATCTCGTCGTTTTCAGATAGAGCTTCATCTGTCTTGGGGGTTTTAAAAGTGCACGCGAGCTATTGTAGGGAACAAAAAGGGACTCCGGCGTCAGCAACCCCATTAACATACTCTTTTTGAGGTTAGCTGTTTCTTGTTGAGTTGGCACCTCTTTTGTGTTCTTTGTTTTTAAATGAATCGAAATTCAGCGTGTGTTTGCTTATTATGTTTTTAATCTTATGTAAAATATTAGGTTGCAGCAGCTGCTTTGCACTTTTCTCAATCCTGTTTGCTTCGCAGAGGTGGACCTGAAAGATAAAACCAATAAAAAGGTAGCCTATCAGAGGCGCCTAGAACTTGTTTTACGATGAATGTCTTGAGCGACAACAAGTCTAAATTGGACTTAAATTAGTTGCCGGCAATTACTAAAGACGAAAGAGTTGTTAACTAAATACGCCTACTTAGAAATGGTAGCATAATAGTATGCGTTCAGTTTACCAGGTTTTCGTACAATAAGAAACACTACAATTAAGGGGATACCTGTTTACTATTACAGGCTATCAGATGGAGCTTGAGAGCCAATGGTGGAAAGGACAACTTGCTGAAGACATATACCACGCTCTTCGCTACAAAGTACGTCTCCCAGGTCATATTCCTAATGCATGGTATAAAGAAAGGTGTGTTTAAAAAGGGATGCATTTAAAAACTTGATGCCTGATTTTATGTCACCTTGTAGCTATGTTATTTTTTTTTCTTAAGCTTTTTGTCTTTGAAATTGACTTGAAATTACAGTTTGGTTCTTCCCAGCTTAATAAAGGGGTGGGCTAAAGGGGTGTTAGGCCAATAGAAGAACTTTTCTCTACATGTCATGGAAGTGCAGGCTGTGCTGTAAGAAAATATGAAAAATATTTTGAATGAATAACAATACTGCATGCCTTTGATCTAGAAGAAACAATACTAATTAGAAATGTAAATGTAAGTACAATTTGAAAGGTAAACTTGTCAAACTGCATTGCATTTTACATCAGGCTGTGATGTAAACCTTGATGTGAAAACATTAACTGTGAAATTTCAGTAGCAGATGGTAATAGTCGCAACAGTTTCCCAGTGCATTGGTTTATATTTGTAAAATGTGTTTTTTTTCTTTTCTTTTCTATGCATTTCTCTTAGGAATTGAAGTTGCCTGCTTACAAAGGCCAGTCACCCCAGCTCAGCCTTAGACGCTATTTTGCTGATCTAATCGCTATCGTAAGCAACCGTTTCAGGCTTTGCCCAACCGCGAGGCACCTAGCTGTCTACCTGCTGGACCTGTTCATGGATCGTTATGATGTTTCTGTGCAACAGCTTCATGTGGCTGCACTTTCCTGCTTGCTTTTAGCGAGTATGTATACCACTTTGCTGCATCTTTTCTGGATTTTGCTGAGCTTTGTTTAATAACATGTCCAAATAATGAATGATTACTGCAGTTTTCAGTCTTTGCCGTGCGCAGATATTCACGTTTTTGTGTAATTCTTTGTAATGATGTGTGAAATTGCAGGTAAGTTTGAAGAGAGGGAGGATCGGGTACCAAAGCTTGAAACCCTGAACTGCTTGGGCTGCATGAGCTCCATGAACCTGGTTCTGACCAAACAGAACCTTCTCAACATGGAGCTTCTTTTACTGGAAACCCTTCAGTGGAACCTTTACCTTCCTACACCAGCTCACTTCATAGAATACTATCTATCGATTGCTGTCCACGAAACGGACCTGCATGATGGTTGGCCTCTGACAAGTTTGGAAAAGACTGGACTGTATATGGCAAAGTATGCGGACTATTTCTTGGAAGTTTCCCTCCAAGGTACGTTTTCCTGCTTTCTGTCAATGTGTCCTGCTTTATTGTAGCCAGAGGTAGATAGTCCAGGTCCAGAAAGTAAAAATCCAGGCCAAGATTTTTTGTTCTAACCAACCAGTTCCGCATAAAGAATCACAACACAAAGAGCCACAAAGAGTACTCAACTCGTTGGTTGAAACAAAAAAATCTTGGTTTGGATTTTTACTTTCTGGACCTGAACTATCCACCTCTCACTGAAGATGGCATTCAGAGTGTGCTGTGGGGTTCCTCAGTTCCGGTACACAGTTTGCAGTCTTCCCTGCTCAAATACACCTTATTCAACTCGCCAGCCAATTGCCAATTTAGTTAGCGTGTTTGAGCAGGGAAATCTGCAAACAGCAAAGCAGACTGGCCCTCCAGCACCAGAATTAGGGCAATCCTGATGTAGTGGGTTAACAGAGTTTCGTCTTGCTTTTTACCCATCATCCCTTTAGACCACATCTTTCTGAACTTCGCCCCATCGCTGGTGGCCGCCAGCTGTGTTGCTTCTTCCCGTATTGTCCTGCGGCTGTCTCCCACCTGGCCCCCCCGTTTGCAGCGTCTCACAGCCTACCTCTGGGAGCACTTATCAGCCTGTGTGGAGCGGCTTCTCATGTGGGTGTCTTTCACATGGTCTATTTAATTATTTTATGAGACATCCGGCATTCGTTTTAACCATACCTTGTGTGAAGCGTGTGATCCTTTCATTTGCATCACTCTTTACTCCCCTTGCGTAGGGCACATGACGGGGATGTCAAAGAGGCCAGCAAGCAGAAGTGCCAACAGCAGAACCCCTCGGTCGTGTCCGCAGTGTTCCACGGGCCCGGTCCGGTGTCCGCTGTGCCCCAGTACCTGCATGGGGCCACGCTACAGTACCCCCAGCAAAACTGCCAGCCCCTTTTGTCCTCTGCCCATGGGCCTTCCTCATACATGTCTCAAACTAGCCTCCAGGCTGGCACCCAGCCGCATGGGCATCTACAACATATTCCTGCCTCCCTAGAAACCAAGGTCAGCATGCCTTTCAACAGAGGCTACCAGGTTAATGCACATTATAAGTGCTCTTCCCCTTGCTTTGACAGGTGATTAAATCAATCTGAGCAGGAAATGGTGTGGGGGGGCAGTGTGTATCCATTTCCCTTTTCAGCTGGACTAGTGGATGGCAGAACCAAATTTTCAGTGTAAATACCAATGAGGGAGGGATTCAGCCCTGTATTATGTAAGGTTTATATTTACACACTTTGTGCAATATATGTACTTGGATGTATAATTATTTTTCTTGCTTTCTTATTGAATTTCTTACAGTCATAGTATGTAATGATAAACAGTATAACTGGACCTAATCTATTGTTTCTGTAACTTAATATACTTCAAACGACATATCTAAATTGTATCCTCATTGTAACTGTGTTATTACATACTTGGCATTTCATTTAGAATGGTATTTAACCTTATATATTTAAAAGGAACATTTCAGAATGCATCCTGAGGATTACATTGTCTATTTTAGAATGTGGTTACTTAACGTGGTTGAATACACAGGTATTTCACATTTCTACCTCGGGGGAGAAGAAGCTAGTTACCAGCACCTTTTTCATATTCAGAACAATTTTTGCATAATACTTGTGTTTGGAACACTGTAAATCAGGAGTGTGAATTTGCCATATTTACATCTTCTGAGGATTAAGAATCTGCAGTCAGTGCTGTGCACTTTGAAAGGAGATTTTAAAATAAAGTGCAACTTCTCAGTTGTATGTTTTTACTTTGCTCACTTTATAGTTGACTTTATGGTTTCCCTGTCTCTATACTTGTGCTTTTCAGCCCAGTCCTTGTGCTTGTGCTTAGTTCCCCCCCCCCCCAGCTCCAAAAAGGTGGGCTGTCTGGGGGCCCCCGAGAACCAAGTTGAGAAACACTGACCAGGAAATTCTATATTTCCATAAATTTTGTATTTAAACTTGAAAAATTAACCATGCAAATTGTAATCAATAGTTGTCACCTAGTCCACAGATATAATTATTTAAATTAATGCAAAAGGATCAAGCACAAATCTATCAAAAATATTTTTTGCTGCACTGTACTGTCACACTAAACACTGTGTAACAAAGCAGAAAACTGAAATAATTATTTAAAATGTGTTGAATTGTAGCATACTTTAAAAGCAGTGTACTGATGAGCATTTTTATTAAAATTTACTCTAAAGAAATAAAAGCAAAGTCTGACATAAACTATATAAAATCAAATTGATCAGTCCCCTTTCCATAAAAACATGAATGAAAAGCTGCTTGTCATAAGTGGTTATGAACCATAAACAACATACCTTGCTGGTTTTTAACCAGTGAAACAAAGAATATTCTTATAGACAGTATGTTATTTAAATAGGCATGGATGTAAACTAACATTGCAAATTCTTGTGTTATGGTTCATACAAAAATATCCCAAGTGCAGTATGTAGCCACTCATCTGCTAACACAGAGCTGCTGTTAATTTGACCAAAAAACTCAAAAACATGGTCTTACATCTAAAATGTGGTAAAATATATGCTTTTAGGTAACACTTTACTGAGGGGGCACAAATAATGTAGTAGTACACTCATTTACTGTATTTAGAAGAACCTAAGTGTTAGTTACGTACTGATTCCATGTTCATTCATCATTAATCAGTCATAATGGTTCATGTATTTCAAGCAGTTTCTATATTTGTTCATGATTTGTTCTTGAGTAGTAACTGAGTTACTAAGTTACTTGTGTGCCCCCTTTTAACAGGTTATTGTACACTACTCATTAGTTATATATTCATTTAGGAATTTGATACTGGACGTTATAACTTGAAAGACCATCTATTGTAATTTTAACAAATCCTATTTGTTAATACAAATACAAATTAGAAATATAATTTGTTAATACAAATACTATTACATAATACTAGGACTTATGAGTGTATTGTTTTTGTCCATAGTTTATGTCTGGACTGTTGCTTACTGACAAATTCTTGCAGATTATCATTATTAAGTGTGATTTTTCTATAGACAGAGAGTAATTTCTGAAGGGCAGTTAATCTGAAACCTATCCAGCCCAGCTTGTAGCTCCTCATAGCTCCCAGTCTCCCGCTGAATGGTTGAAGATGACAGTTCCAGCTTCAGCACCTGTAGACAGAGGAACAGTATTGCTGCACAGCATGAGTTTCAGCAAGTGGGACAGCTTTCCCCAGTTCATAATGCTGGTCTTCTGTGTTTCTTCCATCCTACGAGTGAGTAGTGGCCATACTTTTATTCACAATTACTGTCATTCATGTTTCATAATTCAGGTATTGAACACTACATTATGTAGGCCATTGCATTGTGGCATTAACCATAGGATTGTGTCTAAATGTAAGCGACTGATGTTAATAGGAAATAGGATTGGTATCCCTAAATTGTGAGTGTGACTTGTGTTTCATCTAGGGTGTCCCATGCCTTGTATCCTGTACCTCTTGTAATAGGCTCCAGATTCACCAAAATCCTATGCTTATGGAAGATGTTCAGGTTTAATGGCAGTGACATAAGTTTTGTATATAACCTCCCTCTTAGTTACACTACCAGCTCAATATCAGGCGGATGGCACATGAGTTCTACTGGCTGCTGTAAGCTCATATTTATTATCAGATGATAACTTTTTTGTATATTGCCAACATTTCTGACCATTCACACTATAAATTAAATGTATTTATTTCCATGTACAAAACTGAATTGGTCATAACAATTGTGGCAAAATGTCTCTTAGCACCTGACTTAGTGATTGTTCCTCATAATCACTTCATTATCATTATCATTTATCATCATTCCTGACCTACAGATGGCAGTAATGTACAATTGACAGTAACACTGAAAAAGCTGATCATATAAGATTAGTCCTACCTTTGACAACCAATTAGATACTGTCAACCCATTGGTAAACAATGGCTTCCAAGTACCGTTATCTTCCACATCAAAGTTCAAGGAAATCACCAGGTTTGTGCTGATTTGAATCAGGTCTAAAAAGTTTATATATGCATATATATTTTTCCATTGTGGATTCATATCAAGCATATAAAAACAGTGACAAGCAAAAAGCACTAAGACATATGCTCATTGTGAGATTCATACTCTTCATGCATTAGAAAAGATCTGCAGATCCAAATGACAAAATCATTTTACAAATATACTCTTATAATATGCAATAGTGTTTATGACATATTTACTGGGTTTGAATTTTAGGTGTGCTGAATAACCTTGACCTATATCTATTCTGAAGAAGGTATTTGTGGGAAAATTCATGAAACATGCACATATTCTGTCCATTTACCTGCACAACACATAGCATGAACTCCCCTTGTTGAGGATATAAGTTGACACTCCCTGGAAATAAAGAAATAAAATCAATATTGTGATATTATAAATGAATTTCATTAAACAAGTGAAATGCTGATTGCTGTTCCAGCTGAGCCGCTAATTAATTATGCTGTGGGTGTTTTGATTGAATTCCTGCATGTAGATATCTCTGCTCTCAAAAATCCATTGTCAGAAACTACTTAAGAGGTTCTGTTAATAAGAAGAAAGAAATGCAGGTGGTGTTTGGTTCTGTGGGTTAGGACTATGTGCCTGTGATCAGAAGGTTGTAGGTTTAAATCACCTGGCTGTCCCCAAATGTCATTAGTGGTCTCTTGGGACTTCTCACCCTGTTCTCTCACTTTTATATTAGTTTGAATGAAAGTGTCTGCAAATTAAACGTAAATACTGATTTAGCACATGGCAAAAGCGAAACACAGAATGAAATACAGAGAAAAGCTTTGCATTATTCCAAAACTAATATGACTGATAAAAAAGTAGTATTTGTAAAATGATGTGTTTTATTTTAATTCCCAGGGAAATTGTAGGTAGTTCAGTCAATAAAGCTACATAGACAACATTTATAATTAATTACATAATAAATAAAATGTAATGTTGCACATTGTACAGATATTGCCTGTAATTGTAATGCTATTCAGATATATTTTTTTCTATATATTTTCATTACCTTTATCTTACCCTTTTTATATTTATCTTAATTTGCGAAACCTTATTGCACAGCCTCAGGACTGAATCAGGGTACATTTCACTACACCTTGTACTTATATAACCTTGTATGTGACATATAAAGAATCTTGAGTCTTGAATCTCTTGAATCAAGACCCAATTTAAGTGTTCACATGACCTGTCCTAGTGGCAATCTTTGTGATCCAAGTTCTTGTTACTGAGGCATTTATATTAATTTCCATTAATTTATTTTTCAATACTACTTATTTGGTATAGGGCTGTTGTGATTTCTATTTATATACTTTATTAATATCAATGCAAGCATAAAATAGCAGGAGCTTTTCTGCTGTTAGTTTAGAAGTTCTGCTGTCGTAACTCAACAGTTGTAGTAAAAATACTTCCCTGGGGGACAGATTTTCTGATTATGAGGCTAAATTAGATTGTACCAGCAATTATGTCTGTATTTGACTGCTAAATCATAACATCCCAGTAATCTGAGGTACTAAAGACAAAATTAATTTCACTGTGTAATAAAAGACTAAAAATATCTAATATAATGTGAAATCTAAATCAAGATATAATAAAATAGTTTTTCAATGTGCCCTATTAAATTCGCTGCTAAATCTAAGGATTTTTCAGTTGGGTTTTCTGATTCAGATAGAAACTTGTTAAATCCTAATCCAAACCGTATTTCTTCCATCTCATAAATATAGCAAAATTAACTAATGGATGTTAAAGATACTGAAAATGAACACATGCAGTCCTCAAGAGCAGATGAGGCAACTACACTAATCTTAGAAAATACAAAACTGTACAATCCCTTCCTTTCAGCAAATCAAAATAGCTCCAGCAGGAAGTGTAAGAAAGTACAAGCAAATCATGTACCGCAAACCTGGTCATTTCAGGGCAGGTTTATTTATTTATTTTCCATTTATAAAGCATCTAAATGTCAGGTTATGTTTCCCCATCTTCCCACTACTTATCCTGGAAAGGATTAAGGGGGGGGGGGGGCAATGTATCTCAGGACAGAACACAGGGGAACACTCTGGATGGGATGCCAGCCCATCACAGGAAACACAATGAACGGCTTATAGATATCATTTCACCTAACTGCGTATAATTACGCTGCAGTAGGAAATCCACGACAGAGGCAAAACATGTACATGCCACACTCAGACATTAGCGAGCATAAAAAGAGCCAACCCAGGAAGTAGGAGGTGACATCATTACCCAGGAAGTGGGAGGCGACATCATTACCCAGGAAGTAGGAGGTGACATCATTACCCAGGAAGTGGGAGGCGACATCATTACCCACAGAAACCCCATTTCTCATGTCTTGTAACACTTTGTATCATGTCTCCCTAATTCATATTCATTTGAAAAATTCAAGTGCCATTCACTAACTACATACATCACCAGATCCTCCAGAATTCCACTGGAAACTAGTCTTATAATTTAGAGACCACAAACAATATAGTTTGTCTAAACATGCGATCACAATTCAAAACAATACTTCTGTTAAAGATGTTCTGATAAAAAGCGATGCTTTTGCTATCAGAAAGAGAAGTTGCAGGGAAGAACAGCCAGGCTTACTGTATATCTAAACACTAGGTCAGTGCACCACTGCATAAAATGCATCAGAAAACAAAAAAATAACATTAAAAGGCCTTGAAAAGGGTTAGCTTACTATGCACAGTGAATTGTTTCATCATTTAATCCTGTTGGAACCACTTTAGTG